ATATATATATACATACCTATACATACATATACATACATATATATCTGGGCACATAGGCCTACGCGTGCAATGCATTTTGCATTATGCAATTTAATCAGCCTGAAAGTAAATATCCGGAGGCTTTTTTTTTTCTTTTCATTTATAGATTTTAAGAGCTGCTACGCTAATAAGTTCTGGGTTGAGTATAATTTTGTCACATATTGACTGGACTAGATTTGATTCGTTGTGAACGCCAATGGTAAGCCGCGAAATTCCAAAGATAAAGAATTGAGTATTTTGATAAAACATAATTATTGAGTTGCTATGTTCAACACTGCACCTTCCTTTACAAGTACAACTGAAACGAGGCACCCTCTAAACTCGACTTTGTTTATCATACATGAATTTAAAAAAAAAAACAAAAGAAACAACAAAATATTATTTTGATGTCACAAAGTAAGTCCTACAATTTATTGAACAAACATAATAATTATTATAAAACTAAATGAACATATTGTGCGTATAATTTGTAATAACGTTCTTAAAAATTACTTACTTCTTCAAACCTAAGTGTTAGTCAACTTACAACAAAGAATCATCTATAAAAGTTTCAGTAAAATAATGAGTGGCATATTATTGTACAGTCAGTCCACAGATGAAAGTAAAACAAAATGGTCTATGCCCATGAACGTAGAGCAATGCTAATGAACTGTATACAATCATTAAAATAAATTTCATAATTAAAGTAAATATAATCATATGTATTATTGTCTGCGTAATATCATCATTAACATCATATTATGTCTAATAATCAATATCATTTTGTTTATTATTATCGTTATCATGGAGATTGGCCTTGGCTACCATCTCATATGAGACAAATTATTAATTACTATGAATCTTTATTTCATAACAGCACCCTATTACCATTATTGATATTATTATTCATTTCATATTCCGAATATATTTATAAAGAATAAAAATAGACGCAATATAAGCCTAAAATTTGTGTAGGCTTTATTTTTATTAAATCTACAAAGCGACGCATACTTGGTAGTCTATGGACGTAATTACTTTTTTTATTTTCTCGGTGCTGTGATCCACCTCTATTTTCAATTTTTCACGTAATTTTCAAAAGCAAGAAATATTCTAGATGAAAACTGTATCAATTGTCAAAGATCCAATATAATGTCGATAACATCATTCTACTTTGAAAAAAACAAATCTCATTCATTCCTCGCCATCACAGAGTCAGACTCAGAGACACTTTATTTCATCTCCACTCAGCGGTGAATGAATCGTCAAATATTATACTGTACACGTTTCTTGGGCGGATGCAGGATTTGGTCGGTAGGGGGTGCGTGGGATTCGACACCACCAAAGCCACAACATGGTAGGAGATGAGGTGCGAACATTTTGAGAATAATAATGAACATCTAGGTACCCGGAAATTTCCCCCTCATACCTTTAGAATCTTACCGGTAACTCAACAATATAATACAACAATTAGTTTTCTTAATACATATTTAGAAAACTAATCGCACCGTCTGCACTCCACCACCCCCCCTCCCCTAACTTTGCATCCGCCCCAGCGTTTCTCTTCTCCAAAATTGTACAAAACTTTATCACAAACATCAAGAGGAATATGTTCCAAAATTCGTTGAATGTTCACAAACGCGGAATATTTATATGCTTACTTCTACTACTATACTTGTGTTTAAAATTAAAAATTTCTGGACATTGGTCATTAATGACAAGGTATTCTATAAAAGCAAAATCAATTTGCTATACTACTATATGAAAAAGTTAAATTGCATAATAATTAGTAGTGGTAACTAAATGTCTATTTACATCCAGAAGTGGTTGAATTTCGTTGATGAAGTCTTCGCGATTGCAAGGCGTGACACTTTTTATGTCGCTATAGAAACTTAAAACAACTTGGCGATACCGAGGAATCTCATTCACAAACATTTGCCGATGACTGAAAGTCAGACTCAGGCACACTTTATTTCATCTCTACTCAGCGGCGAATGAATCGTCGTTTAGTAGGCCTATTTACATATTCCGGTGCTGTCTTTTTCTTGGATAAAGCCATAGCAACTTGTTCCAGTTTCCTCATTGTAGCATCTGTCCTACAATTTTCATCATCGAAGAGGGCGTTCTTCACCTTGAAAAAAGAGAAGTAAGCATTAACAAAGCAGTAGGATAACGCTATGGTAATCAAAGTAGGCTAAATTTATGACAAAACGCTGACATTCCAAGTGCACATAGCTATGTCAAAGGTGCAGCCATGAACAAAAACAATCGTAATTATGTTTTGTGTCTGTAATTTTACAGATTGTATTGTAATACTATGGGATTTTATGAAGGGTATTACGACGTAAATCTTAATGCGTCAAGAAAGAATCAATCAAAAACTCTGGTATGACAGATGTTATTATACAACTATCGGAGATAGCATGTGTTACTTTGACCTTTATTAAAGCAAGCTCATCTTCTATTTTAAAAAAAAATCATATTATAATCATCCATAGCAATATTAAAGTCCATATCCTCAGAATAGATACTGAAAGTCCAGGAAAGGTTTATAAGAGTCAACAGATTTATGTAGAACTTAACCTTCTCTCACTTTATAAAAGGTTTATCAGGATTTACACATTTTGTTTTTTGTTTATTAGAAGATCAAATAATACAATGTTGATTTCCACAATTATTTACAATGCAGCCAGGACTGTTTGTATTGACAAGGTCCAAATTCTAGTCACATTTATGTGAGCTTAACACCGGGCTTAAACAAACTTAAAACAGTGTAAAAGATAATACAAAACGAAGTAAACTTTGTTTTGATTTGAAGTGACAAAGCTGTAATAGATTCTTACCGTATCAACATGTTGATCAATTAAAGAATATAAATTCTCCAGTACACTAGACTTTTTAAACAGTGCTTTGAATGGCTGCAAAGACAAACGATCGCTTTTTAAATTCAAACGCGTATACTAAATTATGCCATTACACAAATTAGAAATAGTAATAATAAATAAAATAAACCAATATATTATTTTTTTTAATTTGTTTTAAAAAAAAAAGAAAACGAACAAAAGTACAATATAGCACCTGTGGGTATACCAAAAGTAAACAATTCAGACAATTGCACACTGTCTGGCTTTCTCAACTAACAGTACATAATACCACACAAACAAACCCAGAAAAAAATATCCTAAAATTCTGTGCTTTGATAATACGTTTCTGTGGCGCATGAAGAATTTGAAGGTAGGGGGTGCGTGGCAGTCGACACCACCACAGCCCCAACATGGTAGGGGCTGAGGTGCGAACATTTTGGGAATATGAATATCTAGGTGTCCGGAAATTGCACTGTCATACCTTTACAATCTTACCGGTAATTCATATCAACAATACAATACAACAATAGTTTTCTTAATACATATAAGGGGGCTGCGATCGCACTGTCTGCACTCCCCACCCCCATTCCAACTCTGCATACGCCCCAGCGTTTTAAATCTCTTCTAGCCCTCCAAAATTGTACAAAACTTTATCACAAACATCACAAGGAATATGTTAACAAATTCATGGAAAAACCGAAAGGTCGACTGATTAATCTCAGATAAGAAAGTATAATACATTATCATCATCAGGAATGATGATGACATCATTAATGTCGAAATATTGAATCCCAACACGATGGCGTGTATTTCAATACTTGGAGTATGTATTATACTTTCCTAAATTCATGGAATGTTCACAAACCCGGAATATTTACATGCTTATTTCTACCATACTTGTGTTTAAAAGTGAAAATTTCTGGACATTGGTCATTAATGACAAGGTATTTTTAAAAAGCAAAATTAATTTGCTATACTAATATATTATGTAAAAGTTTAATTGCATTAGTAGTGGTAACTAAATATCTATTTACATCCAGAAGTGGTTGAATTTCGTTGATGACGTCTTCGCGATTGCAAGGTGTGACACTTTTTATGTCGCTATAGAAACTTGAGACAACTTGGCGATACCGAGGAATCTCATTCACAAACATTTGCCGATGACTGAAAGAATTCTAAAATTAGAATTAATAAATGAAAAATAAAAAAGAATAGAAATACAATATAGTGATAACATACATTTCAGTAAATAACTATGCAAACAAACAAAATATAATCAGTTTCACTGATAACCTGAATGATACCGAATGATATATTTTAAACAAGAAAATAAATCCACACGTAAATTTGGCCCAATAAATTGATTAATGTCATTTAGAATAAAAAAAGAATACGACCTATTTTCAGTTCAACGTTAGATGATGATAAAAACCGGTTCCTCTAGATTTACCTCGTTGAAACTAAAGAGCTCCGTCGACCAAGAGTCTTGAAACACCTTTGAAATGACATCCATAGTGACGCCAATAGGTGGCGTTTGCTGGATATCACATACGAAGGCAGGGTGGGTGAGGATTCGAACACAAAACATCTCAGCAAAGCTAAAGAATAAAAAAAATGTTCCATTAATTCCTGTCGAGCCTTGAAAATGTTATCAACATCTTTCAAATCGAACAGTGTAACTTGTTTCTAGTCTAACACAGTTGTGGTTTATAAACGCACAACTTTTCACCGGCAGATTATCAATTCATCATTAACGTCGTTATTGCCATTCTCAGAGTCAACATTATTATGAAGGTAAAGAATTTCGAATAGCGCATAATACTAAGTCTCTATGCACGTTAAATAAAAGACACAAATAAGATGAAGAGACGAGACAAGAAAAATGGAACAAAAAAAACCATCAACAAATAAAAAAAAATAATCAGATGAGGATAAGAAAAGATTTTTTTTATAGTCAGGCCTTAATAGGGAAGTGATGGAGATTCCCGTATATTAGGGGGAAGAGAGTTGCCACTACCATCATCGCCACCATAATCTTCACCATCATCTTAACATAATTAATAGTAGCAGCACCATTATCATCAACACCATTATCACCAGTATTATTTTCATTATCATCATCATGATGATTATTACCATTCGTCATCATCGCGATCGTCGTCATAATCATTATCATCAGCATCATCATCATATTATGTTATTATTATTATTATTAGTTATATGAATCATCGTACCTGTTGTTTTTCCATATTTTCAAATCATTGACGCTAATATCACGTGCAGAAGCCTCATTGTCCAAAATGTCAAAGATAAATTTAACGCCGCATAGCAAATGATGCTTTTGGGCAGATGGGCTGAAGATTGCCTCAAAAAGTGAATTAACATATCCCTGGTAAACTTTCTGTATTTTGTATCAATACATAAAATGAAAACAAATACAATCAAAATATATTTGGTACTGTATAGCTATGCTTATCTGGTGCGGATACAAAGTGGGGCTGCATACGGTGCGATCACACCCCTAAATTAGAAAAATAATTTTTGTATTGTATTCTTGAAATATTAATTTTATCATTATGAAAATAGAACTGTTAAGGTTTTTAAAAGTATGAGAGTGCAATTTCTCTCAAAATGTTCACACCTTAGCCCCAACCATTTAACTAGTGTATTTACCAGAAGAGAGGGCGGCTGAGTTTAAGATGAACCGGGGTCAACAAATGGCAACGAGGGTACCCAATATACTGGTTTTCGGTATATGGCATTAAGAAAATGTTAAGAATTGTTTTTCTATTGATTGCTTTTTTTTTTAAATTTAGATATCTCATTACATAATTTGCACTTAGACAATAGGCATATCAATCAATCAATTCTTCATTCATCAATTCGTCAATAATTCCATAAAAACAAATAACAAATGCAAGGATAATAAAATGATAAAGATGATGAAATACCTCCAAGAAACTCCAGGGAACTTGTAAATAGGAGGCAAATTAAACTAATGCTTTTAATTGTGATACATCAAAAGGGAGGAAAGAGCTCCCCTAAAAAAAACAAAAAACAAACAAACAAAAACAAAAACAAAAGACAAAAGCTAACCTAACAGAAAAAAATTATTTCTGTAAATCAGAAATATGCCCTACCTTAGTTTCGTTTAATCTAGCAAGGTCAGATTTATCAACTTTATTCTTTACTTCTATGTATGCATCCTCTTGAAGGTCCAACTATAAGATAATGCCAAAATTACTGTAATACCCTCCTAAGTTTATTTATATGTATTGATACAATTAAATGAAATACTAAAATGATATGTGACACATTGGTAATAAAACCCACTTTTGGAATATTCGTTTATGCCAACAATTGTATTGTTAGTTAGTTGATATCAGAGATGTGATACTCAACTATACGGTGGTGTACAATATATAATGGTTAAAAAAGTATACGGTGTCACTGTTAATATGCTTTATCATGCATTACGTATTAATCATAAATGAATTTACGATATGTTACATAATTATAATCAAACCTTATAGCATTAGCATGATGCAAGTTTGTTAGGACCTTTTAAGTAAATTACAATAAAACTTACAATGTGATAAACACCATCTCCTTCGTCTAATTCTTCGTATGTATGATCATCTATTAAAATAGATGTTTCGTAAGCATGTTCATCTATTAAAATAGAAGTTAAACTACTAAGGTAAATATCCTATTTGGTTGAACCTAGACATTGTCACTAAACATTCCACTTGTCTCAAATTTCACCACGGCA